GCTGCTTAGTTTCACCAATGTACAAGTCGTTACACTCCTGACTACACTTAATTGCATACACCACATCACTCTGTTTATGTCTGGGTGTTTTGTCTTTCGGGTGGACCAGTCTCTGCCGCAGGGTGTTCCCTGGTTTACAGTTAACTGGGTTATTGTGGTTGTGAAATATCCTTTTTAACTTCTCTGATAAACCAGCCACATAAGGGATGACAGTGTTATCCCCTCTTGTTTCTGGTTTCTCCCCAGGCCCAACACCAACAGGGCGTTATCTCTGTCCCAACAGTCAGTCAGAACTGATGAAGCGTCTTGGATGAGAGGTGAAACGTCTTCGACCTAGAAATCTAGTCCAGTCGATTTTTTTCTAAGTTTTCTTTCTTTCTTTCAGCTTACTATGACCTGGATGACTGAGAATCTGCACAGACATGTTGCCATATCATCATTTCTATCATCTGGCTTCAGGTGCCTCCATGGCTACAACACAATTCATAATGTGTTGCAAGTCCAGGAATTACAACCACTACACAACATGTGGCACCATCTTTCCACAGGATCTGCAGCTAAGAATGTAGAAGCCCCAAGCTTTGACACTTACCACGAATTCCTCACCCGCCTCAAACTTTGATTCGATTTCCCTGCCGACCTCATTTTCAGGGACACGCAGGTCCTCCCTGACATCACCGTTGTCGGCCAACAAGGACATGAAGTTCTCGCTGATGTTAAGCAACTGGAGGACAACAGAAAACAAACAATGACTGCACTGATATTACTCCAGGTACTTCCTGTTTATTTACTATGGAGCAGAGTCAGGACAATGAGTAGACACCAACCAGTTCGTGCTCAGATAGGTGGCAGAGTGTGAAAGGCATCACCTTCTTTTAACCAGAAAATCTCTTTAGATAAAATATCTCTTATACAAGATACCTTTTGAAATCGTCAAAACTCCTAACTGCAGTAAAACAAGTGCTGGCATATTCCACATATAATTGATTGCACTTTCATCATTGTAACCCTGTGTGATACAAGAAGTGAAGAAATGTCATTTACATATACAAGTTATGCTCTTGATCATAGTGGAGCTCATCTCAATGCATAAACCAGGCACAGACAGATGAAAACCAGGACGATGACCCAGGATGTTAGGATGCTTCGGGATCGCCTCATGAGGAAACCCACATTTGAATGCATGTCATTTTAGATTTTTTTTTTTTTGCTTCTATGGGCTGGAGCAGGTAAAGAAACATGTATAATACAAACCAGAGAATGTACCCATCACCTGAGTGTTTTCTGGTAACTTCTACAGAGGTTACTAGATGTGCCGAAGACATTTTCAGACACTGAGTTGTTATTTGAAGCAACAAACTGGACTACAAATACGCAAGACCTTGTGACAGTTTCCAGTACCCTCCCTGCAGCCACCCAGCTCCACCCTGACCACAGAGAACTCAGCTTCGTGCCTAAACAATACTGTGACTGCACATTTCAGTGGACACAGATGACAGCAGTCAAGTGCCATTTCTAACTGAGTGACGCGCTGGTTAACTACTGTGACACTATTGAGACAGAAGGTTCCAGAGGGGTTTGGACCACGTGCATACCTGGTAGTCTACCCTCTTGATGGAAGGAACATCCATGTTGTGGGTAGAAGGGCACATGTCTTCATATTTCTTGTTGGTGAAGATGTCAATGCCAACCAGGTTAACCTACAAGAGAACAGTTACTACACAGTAAATGGTGAGCATTTGTGAAACATGATTTAAAGCTACAGTAGGTAACTTAATGTAGCAATAGCATGAAACTCCAAATCAATCCATTCTGCTCTGCCCAGCGCTCCCTCTTGCTGCTCCAGTACAATCTGCTATGCCGTGCCAGGCTGTGCACAGCTGATAACATAACAGATGTTTGCTGTTATGAAAATACAGTAAATGAGAACACAACAGAACTTACTGATCAAGTTGAAATAACTGAAAATCTGACTGGTGAGAAGAGTCAGTCCCACTCAAACACGTTTAGAAGCTAATATCTCTGCTCTCCTGCCAGTGCTGGTCAATGAGCCCGGGTCACGGGAGGCTTCGACAACATTAAGACACATTGTGGAGCAGATTTCAACAACTAAAACATTTGATAGAAGTTACATATTGTAGCTTTAATCTAAGTCAGACAGCATTAGAAATAGGATGTACAGTAAGACCCACTGACAGCAGGGGTCATTTAAATTGCTTTAATGTCAAAGGAGGATTTATTTACACTGGCTCATAAATCATTAAACAGCCAATGACTGTTTTTCCATGTCCTGGGCTGCAGATGTGATGGGGTTCTAATATCAAAAGTACTGCACTTTATACTTCATCTTAATCACTGAGCTGCCATTTTTATTTTTCTCCCATGTATTGTGAAGTAAGTGTCGGACACACTCTTGTGCTTTAAGAAAAAGATAAGGAGCCTGTGCATTACTAAAGCCAGCCCTTGAGGCAGCTTGGATCAGGCTAATATGAAATCTGAACTCGTCACAGCCCGAGCTGAGCCTAAGGTCTATGCCAAGAGCTAATCTCTGACAGTAGACACATTTTATTTCTTTCCCAACTCCTTTAAAACCCCGGCACTGCAAACGTAAGGCTAGTCTGTTTTTTTTTATAAGGACACTTATGAAGGATAATTTTACCTTAGCATGTCCGTGCTTGCCGGTCTTGGAGGTGGACATCTCCACAATTTTGCAAGGACGTCCCTTCAGCACCACGTAGCCATTCTTGCGCAGAGCAGAGCACTGCATGGGGTAGGTGGCAGAGGCACCAGACTCACCAGTCTGGAAATCAAGATCAGGATCTGCCATGGTTTGGTAGGTCAGGAAAACTGGAGAGGATGTACAGAAATGCTTTAATTAGCTGCGCTCTGATAAGAAATCACATCCAAGACATGATTTATTGCAACAAATACACCACCCATTCCTTTACAAGTAATTCGTCCTTTAAGTGGTTCACTACTTTTTTTTTTTAACTATTTGTGAGCTGGTTTTAAATATTTACAGTAGAGAACTTTGCTAAAAGCCAAGGGTAGAGATTTCAGAATATAATGAGGCCCACTCATGCACATGTCATCTTTTCTTGGGAGTTGACAACCAAACCAAAAGGGAACCTCTTCTACTTATCAAGTTAGTGTAAATGAAGGCACAGAATGTAATAAGAAATGTGACACACCAAATTTATGGACTTAAAACCAATCACATTCAAAGTCCATCAGGTTCCATGGCCCCGGCAGCACTGCAACCTTCCGGGGGCCCCACTGTGCGGTCCGAGACCTCTCAACAGATATCGCGAGATCTCCGGCAAAGTGGGATCCTCCTGGTTTATTTCCAAATAAACTGCAATCTACCGAATACAACGACTGTATAAAAACAAAACTACAATAACACCAAAATGTATAGGTAGAGACAACTAGGACGGCTCAACAAGAGGCAAGAAGGCTGCATCGCTTTCTAATTTTTTTTTTTTTTTTTTTTAGATTAAACAACTTCCAACTTACGTTTAGCCAGCAGTTATATCTTATAGTTAACTGCCAATCATCGATATCACATTTGAATTCTTTTAAATGAATTTAAACGAGGTATTAAAAGTGTAATTTTGGCGCTGGCCAACAACACGTTAGCACAAGGTTTAACAAATTAACCGGCCTGGATTTTCACGTCTGTTAACGTTAAAGACTAACAATGACGTTACACACGCTCGTTAGCTATAGTAAACCCCTATTTTAACCAACCTCTATTAAAGTTGCATTACCGTGAGAAACCTACGGCACCACGAAGTTTATAACGGGGCATGTGCTGCTACAGTATTAAAAGTACCGTTATCCGACTGTGTAAGCTAAGGCGGTGCTAACATCAGGGAGTCACGCTAGCCGTCCATTCAGCTCTGTCCAAATACAGGCAGAGACTGGCGCTTGGTCGACAGCAGCTAACATGCAAACTGCTAATATGTTCCAGCGATCAAGATTATAACGTTGAGCGTAAACACATCGTGGATTCTTAACAGGTACCGCCAAAACATACTTTAGCGCGGAGAATGACAAGCGGATTCCGCCGAAGGCCGCATGTCTCTTTGATTCAGCCTGGTAATGTTAGCTACAACATGGACACCCACACCCTGCCCTGCCGCCGACTACATCTACCGAGAAATTCAACTACTACTTCTACTGCTTCCCAAACCACTACTCAAGCACTTTAGTACCTCTGAACCCATAATGACTTCACTTAAAATACCGTTAAGCCGCCGTTTATACCCCCAAGACAGAAACACGCGCCATGCCACACTTACCTTCCAAGAAAAAGAGGACCGAAAGTGCGCATGCGCGGCCAACTTTACTGCAGCAGTCCCTTGACTGCGTGGGGCGGGGCCATGTGTGTTCCGGGGTCTGCCGAGCAGAAAGGAATGCCAGGTCTGAGGCAAACATGGCAACCCGGCAGCTCACGGGTTCTCTGTCGTAGCCTACGGGACATTTAGAAGATTCCACTGGAGGTAAGAGGCGTCTTTTGGAGTCCCAAGCAGAATGCCACAGCAAAATGTAAATAAAGATACGCTCTAGACATATATAAGTATTATGGTTTTAATAGAATAATATATACAGGGTGGGTGAAAAGTAACTAGGCATTAAAAATTGGCTATAGAACTTGTATTATCACTGGAGTCATGATGAAAACAGTCTAAATAGATGATAGTAAATAGGATTTCATATGAATCAAATTCAATGATTGATGATGAATCAAATTCAATCATTCAAATTCATATGAAATGAAATCATATTCCATATGAAATCCAGAGACTTTTCACCCATCATGTTTAAATATCAGAATCAGCTGCAGAATCAGACACATGAAGAATTTGACTCTGGTACATCGGCTCCCAATGTGCATATACATATCCCCGTGCAAGGCGCAAGTAAACAGTAGACCAGCATAAGGCTGTGTAATGTAACAAAATAAGCAGTATTAACAAGCAACAAATAGCGTAAACAATGTAAAAATAAGCAGTAAACAGGCAGTAAACAATGCAGACAGACAAGGAATGCTCATTGTGAAATGGAATAAGTAGGAGTAAAACTAGAGACCTATAAGAATATGTATAATCTGTACGAGGTATATTTAAAGGTGTTGCACTGAGGGCTATTGTCCAGTCATCACCAGCTGATTAATCAGTCTATCACTAACATCAGACTTGATGCTGTTAGTTGATTAGTAAGTAGCAAATAAAAAAAATTATTTTGTATTTGACAAAATCTATTGATCAACTCAGTCTAACAATATCGCACATGAATGTCAGAGATTTTAAAAATATTTTTCATTCTATGCATATCAATATGACTGTGCGAGAAATTTATTGTCGAAACAAAAGAAGCCTGCACTGATCATTTCTGTTCACTTCATTAATAGACATTCAGATGACCAACAACATGCAGGATTCTTTGGTTTCTAAGAGTTTTTCATCTGTATGAGTTCATGTTGCAAGAAGTTGACTGTAAAACTCAGAAGTGAAAAAAGAGAGCACAGCAGCTGTTGTTGCTGTACAAGGAGAGGACATTTATTTCTGAATTTCCAACAATCACAGATGTGTGTTACCAGACTGAGGTCATCTCTTGACTGACTCCAGTGATTCAGACAAGGTGAAAACATGCACTCACATGCATGTCGTACACCTGTGTACGCACCTGCTCACCTACACACACTCATAGGCAGAAAGAACATATGTTCACAGTCTTGATACGTACAAAAATTGAAATACAAATAGTACCACAATAAAAACATTGTACTTTTTTTATAAATTCTTATAACTATGTTCTCTATTGTGTAGAAAGACAACTAAGATTTAATAAGTGAACATTATTTTTTGTTTCTCTCAAATGGTTAGTAAGATATAATGAAAATTCTTACACTATATATATGTATATTTATATCTTTTTATCAATAGTTTCTCCAGACCTCTGTTCACAGGGTGTTGATCAACACCGACATCCTATTCAGTGGCATCGCTTACACCAATCGCTTCCTTTATGATCAATGAACAATGAAAGAACAAGTTAAGGAATAACCACTTAGTCTCCATTACAGTCGCACAAATGGGGGACAAAAATAGAGAATGTCACACACATAGTCACTCAGCATTGTCCTGCTCACTCTTACAAGCTGCTCTGGGTGTGAGCATTAGAAAAACACCTAAAATATAATTTTAATGGTAAATGTCAAGTAATTCAGTGTAAAGTCATGACTGTTACTTAACAGACAAAAGCCCAGACACTAAGTGAGATTGTTAAAAGTTCGAAACAGCTTTGGGGTCGTGTAGAAAGTTTGTCTTTCACCATCCAGCTTCTACACTCAAACCCGCCAGTGTATTGCCTTTAAATTACAATTTATAACAAATGACGACAGGTAAAATATGTATGTCACCATGCAAATGCACAACTAAATAAACTGTAATGAAGTAAATTTGGGAGCACCAATCCATACCAGACATTTGTGTCAGTTGGTCAGAAAACGTCTGTCTGCGAGAGACTGCACAATGGACAGATTTACAGAGGTTTAGCAAAAAAGCAAAATGGTTATATTTTTCTTCTGTGTTCTTGCCTGCTTTGCAAAGTCCATAACATCAGAAAGTATGTATCTATACAAATGCAGTGCACACAAAATAGTAGAAAGTGAAGTGAAAGAGCAGCAGCAAAAGTAAAATCTTCCAGAAGTTGGCAAACAACTACTGTACGCCAAGTTCTTCTAGTGAAAAACAAGATGGAGAGTTTGTTGCTGTGTTGCTGTTGTAGCAGTAATACGATATCTACAACCTTCCTTCCCCTGTCAGAAATTTACCAGGACACAGTCGCCGCAGAACCAGAAACCAAATGTGCAGCATCTGCAATGACATGTGTAAAACTTCCTCTGTGAAACTAACTGCTGGATTGTAGTGATGGTGAAGAGACAGAGAAAGTGTTTCAGCAGCAGCACTTGAAATGAGTGTTCACACTGTGAGCAACACCATCATCAAGGCACAGCAGGTTCTGTTCATTTCCTACAGAGAGCAAGCAGTGATCGGAGAAACAACAAGTGTGTGGGCCACAGCTGAGCGTCTAAATGTCAATGCATCTGTGTGAGGAAAACATCTGCCAGTAGAAAACAGCAATCAAAGGCTTTCTACAAGATATTAGTCTGGAAAAGTCTGTTGTTGAGATGATGACAGCAGTGAGCTATGGAAGTTTTGTTATTCAATTGAAAATTCATTTTGCAATTGGCAATTCAATATACAAAGTGTAAATTCAGTCCTCGGTTTACTTTGTATTATTTTGATTAAAAACTTAAATGAAAGCTGTCAGTCCTCTTATCAAGGTGGCATCTGGTGTGACCAATATGGCAGAGTAGGGGCGGGCAAGACACCAGTCCGGTGCAAATGTTTGACCCAGTCTGATGTGTCGGGTGTTTAGTTAGCAGAGCTCTAAATCAGCTGTTGGTGGATGTGTCTCTCAGCTAAAGATTTCAGCACGTTTCTCTCACGATTGTCAACCTTTGTCCATGACAGCCCCCTGTAGAAGCATAAAATATACTCACAGGCTGTCATACGGACCGAAATGTTGTGTATTTAATAAATGAATCAGTGTAAGCGAGACAGTGTGTGTGACTTCTGTTGTTTTTACATTTGCCTCCGATGTCGTACAATCAGGTGTGCAGAGTATTTGTCAGTCTTGTCTGCGACAACCCAAAATTGCTCATTGTAGAGTTGTGTTGTTGAGGATGATCCACAAACAACAACTGCTAATGAACTTTACTGCCAAACAATTAGATGTTTTCCAAAATCTCACCTTTGCTCGCCCACAGTAAAACAACTAGTTTGAGTTTACAGATTTATCTAGCATTTTCAAAAAGCTGAGTGTTTGGCTGTGTGGATACAAGGCCAGTTGCAGGGAAACACTGGCTTAATGTGTTGCTGCTTGTTTTGAGAGGCTTCACTGAGGCATGTCTCCAACCCATTGCCTCCACTGTTTGGGTTAATGAAAAGTTGCTTCCTCTGCTGATGTTACCTTAATAACCAGCAAATGTTTGCTCACTATAACAACACAGCACAGTGAAAGATGTCCACTTCACTGCAGTAAATGTGGTGACCAGCAGGAGACCAATCCAACAATATACTCACAGTGTAAACACCCTATAATAAATTCGCTGATGTGCTACACAAGGAACTTGTCCGGAGCTCCCCGTTCCATCAGACGGGGGACGTCAAAGGCTACTTGGCATGATGTCAGTGTCCTGTATGGTCAACATCTATCATCCCAGTGCAGCAGTCCACTGATACTATGTGCAGTGGCACCATCCATAGGGCCTGGAGTCTCAGATGGAGGTTATACACACTCCTGTGGTTGACCTCTTCCTCACAAGCTCAATGTTTATCC